GCAGGATCACGGCAAGGAAAGGAAGGAGCTGTTATCTCTGACTCTGCAGGTATGGCTGTCTCCGCCTCCCACGCATGCGTGTGGGGACATGCGCATGGCTGCTGTGGGGGGCCCTGGACGGTGGTGGGATGGTGCAGGGCCCACCCTTGCCTCCCTTGATTTCTGCTACTCTAGAGCATGGTTTTGCCTGAGTTTAATCGCTTGCACTTTGGGTGTTTTGTTCATATTCTGCCTGGCTCTTCGGTGGTCCGTCTTCCCGATAGCATTTTTCTAAATAGAGGTCATTGAATGCCGACTGGAAATGTCCCCACAAGATGAGTTCTGTGATCAAATTGATTTGGGAACCCTTGCATAATGCGTCCTCCCTTAGGTTAACTCTGCATGTTAACATTAGCATGTCACGGTCCGTCAGACTCGTTGGGACAAAGACCTGTTTCCCTTGGTGTAACCCAGAGTCTCCCAGGCTTGCTTGATCACAGGGTCCTTTTCTCCTGCACCCGAGGCCCACCCCCTGGAGTTGCTGCCCCGAGGGCCACGTGTCCCCAGTGTCATGCTGTGACCCAGGCCCTTGCCACGCTTAGCCCTGGGACCCCTCCTCCCACCCCCCACTGCTGGGCATGAGTCACGGTCTGCTTGTCCTGGTAGTATAAGCTGCCTCCACTTCCGTCACATACACCGGACGGAAGGCAAAAACCCAAGGGATTTACTGTCTGCGTTTCTTGCCTGTTACTTCTTGACCATTTATCTCCTAATTGGAGCTGCTCGCCTATTTTAAAGGCATTGCTGCTGATTCCCAGCCATGTCCTAGTGCCCATTCGATGATACTAGAATGCAGTCTCGTAGGATTCAAGACAAACCTGAGCTCGGCCACTGCCATCAGGCGCCTCTCTGAGTGCGGAGGTCTCGCTTCCTCTGTCGTTGTTGTTGTTACGATTTTACTGTAGAACTGCTCCTCCTGTGACCCTGAGTAGGGCTTAGGGAGCCTCAGGAGCCGCAGGGGTGGCAGCACGCCCTGGCTGATGCCCCCTGGCCTAACTGATGTCTGGGTGAGCGGGGTAAGTGTGGCGGCCAACACTTAGTGCGGAGACTGGGCAGCTGTGGACCCCGGGGGTGGCAGGGTGTATTGGGTGGTACACTCCAGCTCCTGGCCTTGCTCTGGCTCTGCTGCTGTCCTTGGGTCTCCATGCCTGGCTAGTGGCCTCAGTCTCTCGGTCCCCACTTCCTTGGAGGGGGTGCTGGTGGGCGTGCTGGCGTACTGGTGAGGGGCCAGGCTCACCTCCGACTGACCTCACTTCACACCCAAGTGCCACCCTTACCAGCTCTTGACCTTGGGCAAATTATTTAATTTCTGCTTTCAGTCTTAGTTTCCACAGCTATAAAACAGGGTTAATAATAGGATCTCAGATGAGTTTGGGGAGGATTGAGAGATTCAGTCATATTCACACAGTGCCTGGCACACTAGCTGAGTTTTGTTATCCTAGGCCTGGCCTATCAAGGCAGTGCGTGTCCTTAATCCCGTCAGCTGTGACAGGGAGGGGGTACCCATGGCCCACTAGTCCCTGGGCCAGGCCTGTGAGAGGGGCAAGGTCTCCAGGAAGGGGCCGTCAGTGGAGCAGGTTCCCCCTATCCTGGGTGAGCGGGGTGTCGCTCTCGTAGTCCAGCACTCCTTCTAGACCTCCCTCAGTGTGCTTCGGCCACACCTAGGTGTTCTGCAGTGTGTCCCCGGATGTGGTGAGTGGCTGGGCCCAGTGCAGACCTGTCACAGCTGATTTGTCCCCACTTCCTTTGGCCCAGTGTGCAGAGAAGAAGGCCGAAGCTAGTGGCCCGGAGGTGGAGTCCTGCCCAGAGCTCCACGTGGAGGCGCTGGAGGCGCTGACGCGGGCTGCCGCAGGCCCTGAGGGTGGAGGGGTCCGGCCCGAGCAGCCGTTCCTTGTGCTGGGGCAGGAGGAGTACGGGGAGCACCACTCGTCCATCATGCACTGCAGGTGGGTTCGGGTTGGGGGCGAGGCCCAGCCACGGAAGGTGCTGACCAGTGGCGGCCGTCTCCCCAGGAAGCCTGGGTTTTCAGGCTGAGTGTGAAGGTGCGCCAGGCCGGATGTGCAAGAAGTGGGCTGGTCCCCAGGGGACTGTGGTCACCTCAAGAGTCAGAGGTGGGCTGCCATCGGGGAGTGGGGACGAGTGCTGCTCAGAGCTGCTGTTGGCCCCGTTAGCCTCTCTGTCCTTCTAACCGTGGGACTCTGAGTTTTAGTAACAGTTACCGTTTATTTGAACTCCCTAAAACTCACTCAATTTTAATTTGCTTTATGTTGGTACTTTTGGGTCAATATTTACGACTTACAGATTTTTACTTACTCATGCTAAAAACATGGCCTTTCGTGAAAAAACCCTCATGGAGCGGTGTTCAGGGGCCAGTCGGGCCTGACGGGCTCCGGAGCGGAGGGGCAGGAGGCTCTCAGTCTGCAGACTGCAAGTGTCCGAGGTCAAGGCCGAGTGTCTGAGGCCGGGGCCGAGTGTCCAAGATCAGGGCTGAGCACCTCTTGCCTACTGCTCTGCCCAGTGTTTGCCGCAGAGCTCACTCAGCATGTAATAGGTGCTTCCTAAGTAGTTCTTGGACAAATGGATGAATGAAAATTTCTAGGAATAGTCCACACCCATCATTAGAGTGTAGGCATTTTGGGATTATTTTTTAAAATGGTCGGAAAGTCAGGAAAGCAGCCATCTGAATTAGCTGAAGACTGAGGCGAGATGCTAACAGCTTCCTCTTTCTTTCATGTTAGAGTGGACTGCTCAGGGAGGAGGGTCGCCAGCCTGGACGTAGACGGGGTCATCAAAGTGTGGTCCTTCAACCCCATCATGCAGACCAAAGCGTCCTCCATTTCCAAGTCGCCGCTGCTCTCTTTGGAGTGGGCTACCAAGAGGGACAGGCTGGTGAGTGACATCTTGCCTCGTTGCCCGCTCTGTGGGCTAGGAAGAATTTCCCAGGGCCCTCCACCAGCGGTCAGGCACCACAGGCTGGGACGGGGCAGCCAAGCCAGACCCTCTCCCTCTCTCTCTCACTGGGGATTCAGGGACCACACATCCAGGACTGTCCCTGAACGCTCCTATTTGGGGGCAGCAGGGAGGTCGCTGGATTAACAAAGGTTGAAATGAGACTGCAGTGGGCCCTGGAGAACACTGTCCAGTCAGGCGGCGGAGGGCTCCTTCCTGTCTGTAGTGGTCTGGCTCGGTTTGCCTTCTGCCGGTGTGGAGAGGCTGGTTGACTTCCTGCTCTCCTCCGTCAGCTCCTGTCATCTGTCCACATTTTTGGCACCCCTCCACAAATATTCTCCGCTGCTCCCTCTTGCCACTAGGACCCCTCCCTGTGTTAAGCCCAAGGGGAGCAGCTGAGGCTGGTGGGGGCTGGTGCCGGTTTGTGGTTCACACGGGTCTGATTGCCTCCGGGAATAATCAGTGTTCTTTTTCCTTCTGGACTTTAGTATTTGATCGAGGCTTTGTAGTTCAGGAGGCAAACTTGATTTGTAGTTTTTTCTTTCGTCGTATTCCATTTCAAGGGGATCATAGCAGGTAGCCCAGGGGCAAGCCTTGTTTTTTGATAATTTTGACAACTGCAGACACTATCCTTATGGCACTAGGGTCTCGGCGTGTACCCTGGGCCGGTGTTAATTTGCCAAGTGAGTGCTGAGGTAGTAATACAGGTAGTATTCCCGGGGGATACTCTCAGACCTGCTTCTGGTGCTTCCTTCTGGTCGTATTTGTTATTATCTTTGAAGCTTTTCACCAAATAAATCACAAGTTCTTGAAGGCAAGGATAGTTTCGTCTGTTTTTTTTCTGGAGGCCTTTACAGGCCCGGAGCCAGAGCTGTCCCCAGAACACATAAATGTGACAGTCGCCCAGACCCCATGACCAGCTCGGGCCAGGACCGGGACCCAAGGAGGTGATGGCGGGTAGATCAGGAGCAAGAAGGAAGGGTTGAAATACCCATGACCATCGGGCCAGGACCGGGACCCAAGGAGGTGATGGCGGGTAGATCAGGAGCAAGAAGGAAGGGTTGAAATAGCTGGGATTTAAAACTTAAAGAGAAGGAGGAAAGAACAGAGGGTCTCATTTAATCAGCCAGAACATTTCCAGGTATATCTGAGGTGATGTCTCCTTCCCAGCCACAGGTTGCTTTTGTGTTTTTACTTCTGTTCAAGGTCAGCTCTGATGTCTTTATCTGATTGCTAGATGAGGTCCATTTTAGACAGATTTTACCTGAACCACCTGGATAAGTAGAGGGGCACTCACCCCTGCAGCCCGCCCAGACCCGTGCCTCACAGGACTGGGCCCAGCCCCCACACTGGTCCTCCCTGACCATCCTGACTCGTGCTGTTCTTCTCACCTGCCCCTTCTCATTCCAGCTCTTACTGGGCAGCGGTGTGGGGACAGTGCGCCTTTATGACACAGAAGCCAAGAAGAACCTCTGCGAAATCAACATCAACGATGACATGCCCAGGTGAGCTGCGGGCCGCCCCCTCGCCGTGCTCTGCGGAGCCTGGTCCCTCGCTGAGCCCTGTGCCCCGTCTCCTGTAGCAGGACCCCCGCCTCACAGCGAGGCTCCCCTCCCTCTGGCGGAGCGCTGACCCAGCCCCACGTGTGTTGCAGAATCCTGTCTCTCGCGTGCAGCCCCAACGGGGCCTCTTTCGTCTGTTCGGCCGCAGCTCCGAGCCTCCCCTCCCAGGTGGACTTCTCGGCACCGGACATCGGCAGCAAGGGCACGAATCAAGTTCCTGGCAGGCTGCTGCTGTGGGACACGAAAACCATGAAGCAGCAGGTTCGGGCCCTGCCCCGTGGGTCTCCTGGGGCTGGTCACACTCCCGGGAGGGCACACGGCCTACGCTCCCCTCTGGTTCTGAGTCTCTTCCCTCTGTTCGCTTGGGTCTCCTGATTCTTATTTGTGAGGAAATTTCAAAGTTTAAGTATTGAAAAGTAGTAATACTTCATTGGGTAGATTGCTAGCAACTTAAGTCATTCAGAAGTATGCCCCAAGTTTAGAAGTCACATAGCCTACTAGGGGGCCCTTGTGGCTTATTTAAATATTTTTTTAATTTAATTTTTTTAATATTTAAAGATCTTTTTGGGAGCAGTTTTAGGTTCATAGCAAAATTGAGAGGAAGGTACAGGGATTTCCCACATACCCACAAACCCCTCCACCCTGCTCTCACACAGGCATGCCCTCTTGTATTATCAGCATTCCCCCCCCCCGAGTGGCCCATTTGTTATGACTGAAGCACCTACGGTGACATGTCATAATCACCCAAAGTCCATAGTTTACGGTACCCATATACCCCTCCACCCTGCTCTCACATAGGCATGCCCTCTTGTATTATCAGCATTCCCCCCCAGAGTGGCCCATTTGTTATGACTGAAGCACCTACAGTGACATGTCATAATCACCCAAAGTCCGTAGTTTACATTAGGGTTCAGTCTTAGTGTTGTACATTCTGTGGGTTTGGACAAATAAATAATGACATGTATCCGCCATTATGGAATCATACAGGGTATTGTCACTGTGTAAAAATCGTCTGTGCTTCACCTGCTCACCCCCCCAACCCCTGGCAACTATGTGTCTGTATATTATCTCCATAGTTTTCCAGGGTGTCATAAAGTTGAAATCCTACAGCCTTTTCAGATTGGCTTCTTTCACTTAGTGTTATGCATTCAAGGATCTATTAGGAAACAGCTCAAGTCTCCTTCTGACTCCCTGTTAACTTAGAATTGTATAAAAGTTAGGGCAACAGCTAGAGGTAGTGAGGACACATACATACTTTTCAGTGACAGCCCTGTGAAAGCCGATGATTCCATGAGGAATCAGGAACTGAGGGCCTGTCCCCACCCAGAACGGTAATAGGTGCAGCTGTGACCCTCAGCCCCGGAGAGGGTAAATGATGTTTAAACTCACCTGTTTAAAGGACAGCGATGTTTCTTATTAAAACTAGTTTTGGTGCTCAAGAGTGCTGCGGCCTTTATGTTGAGATATTTTCCCGATGTTACTGGACACTTGAAAGGTCCCTACCTTATAGGTGGGCTGTGTCCCAGGTGCTCAGTTTGCACCTTAACTGCATCCGCCTGTATAAATGGTGTTCATTCCCATTTGGAAGTCTCACAGGCATCTCAAGCCTATCGGGGCCACACCTGAATTCTTGACCGCCATGCTATGCCCTGCTATGTCTGATCCTCCTCTCTAGTTCTCATCTTGGCAAATGTGTCTCACTTAGAAACTGGGTGCTTTTCTGGGCCCATGCTTCTTCCTCACGCTGTACAGTCAATTCATGAGCAGACATGGTCAGTTCTACTTCCAGAATGTGTTTGCAGCCTGACCACTTCTCTGCATTTCCAGGGACACACTGAGGCCCGCCCTCTAGTGCCCCTCAGCTGGGCAGCTGCGGGACCCTCCTGCTGCGGCCTCCACCCGGCCTCCCCACCACCGCCGGGGGGATGGGCAGACACCCACCGTAGCATGTCACATTCCTTCCTGCTTTTCCAGGTGTCCCATCCACATTCCCTCATGACCCTGTGCGCTCTGCCCTTCCACACTGCTCCAGACCCCTGGTACTTCCTGTCTTCCTCATCCTGAGCCACAGGCCCTTCCTGCCCGCTGTCCCCTCTGTAGGTTCTTGCCACATGCTATCTGGCAGACGTCTGCCCTCCAGCATCTGTTAGATGTTTTCCCTCACACAGCCCAGTTTAATTAGCTCCTTAATCTGGTTATTTTTCTCTAAGTCATTTATTTGTGGTTTGTAATTTTACGTTTCCCTGTTATTTATAATTTTTAAATAAATATTGAGTACATACAAAAGAATATTAAAATCATGGGGATGTGGTATAAAGGGAAGAAAAGCCATAAAATGGGCACATATATGCCGCCACGGTTTAAAGGTGGCACATTGCTAGGAGCCTCCCTAATCTCAGACTCCTTCCCCTTTCAGATGGAATTTGTCTTGAATTTTGGTTTGTTATTCTCTTACATTTAGTTTTTGTCTGTTTTTGTCCCTAGCTCCAGTTCTCCCTGGATCCAGAACCCATTGCTATCAACTGCACAGCTTTCAATCACAATGGGAACCTCCTGGTCACAGGGGCGGCCGACGGTGTTATCCGGCTGTTCGGTAAGCAGGTGTGCTCATGGCGCTCCTGGGCCCTCCTTGGCTGTCCCAGGGAAGAGCTGGTTTAGCCAGCTGGACCGGAGGCAAAGCCCCAGTTCAGGGTGCTCTCAATAGAACTTAACCGTGGTCAGAGTCTGCTGTCTTCAGACCCCTGTAATCACGCTGTGGCTGATCTGCATCAGCGGGCGTGAGAGGGAGGGTGGGCTTTGCGGTCCTTCGGTCAGTCTTGAGCTGTTCCATCTGCATCCTCATGGCCCAAGAGAGCCGAGAGGACATGGGAGAATGATGCCGTCCCGTCCCCTTGGTGCGTCTTGTTCACTCTTCACGGCAAAGTGTTGGAACAGTGTACCTCAGAATCATCTGGCGTGCCGTTTAAAGATGCCCATGCCAGGCATGTCCCAGGAGAACCAGAGTCAGGGCTGGAGGTGGGACTAGGGACTGCATGTTCATCAGACCCCCCTAGTGGGACGTTACAGAGGCCTCTTAAGAAGGACTCCCCAGATGCCTCCAGGCTCTGCTCTGCCTAGGGATTCCTGAACCTCTCTGTAGCCCCAATAAAAGACGCTTCTATTTAAGATAAGATAAGAAGACTAGAAACAGCGGAGTAGAGAATTAGCAAACGGAGGCGCCCAGTGACCCTGCTTCAGCAGGGGCCAGCCCCGTGGGGCCGTCCGCCATGGGAGCAGCTCCCACCCGCTGGGCGGAGGGCAGGCGGTGCTTCCCGCCCTGGCTGATGCCTCCCCGGGCCCGGCGGGAATCTTAGTGGTGTCTCCTTGCCCCAGACATGCAGCAGCACGAGTGCGCCATGAGCTGGAAGGCCCACTGCGGGGAGGTCTGCTCCGTGGAGTTCAGCTACGATGAGAACGCCGTGTACAGCATCGGCGAGGACGGGAAGGTAGGCGCGGCGGGGCTTAGGGCAGGTGCGCCCCTGCCTCCGGCTCTGAGAGTCTAGAGAGCACAGCATCATGGGCCGGGTTTAAATCCTGGCCATGCCGTTTATTAGCTCTGTGACTTTGGGCCTCTCCCTGCCTCAGTGTTGTCATCGGTAAAATAGGGAAAATAATAGAAATCGATCTCATAGGATCTTTGTGAGATTTAAATGAGTTCACTGGGAGCGGGCTATTCTTATGAAAAAAATATCCTTCTCTCTCCTTGTTTTAGCAAAAATGACTCATCCCAGTGCGCACGAAGCAGTGGGGTCTGGGTTTGGGGCTGGGATGTCCCTTGTTGAGCTTGGTCATTGGGCGGTCACAGCGTGGATGTGTGGAGTTTGCCAGGGGTCTGGGGACAGCTTCCCAGAGGTGGTGTTTTATAGGCTTGAGCAGAGTCAAGAAATGTAAAGAGGAAGGTGGGGAAAAAAGTAAAAATAAGTGCCCCTTGTAGAGTCCTTCTGGAAGGATGTTTGGAAAGGGAGCTGAGGCTGGGGGTGAGGGTGGGGCTATGCAGAGGTGGGAGAAAGACTTGCTTTTCATGTATACGTTTTGGATTTTATGCTATTTATCTGTATTATCCATTTGAAAACAGTAATTACAAAATAAATTCTTCATTTGAAAAGTATGAGAAGGGACTTTTAAATTAAAGTTTGGCTTCCTACTTATTTGGGTAGGATTCTCAATTAACAGGTAGTCACCCCCAAGAGGCCCGTCTTTGGGGTAGGCTAAAGGATGACACACTCTACAGTGCATGAAGCTAAGTTTATAACTGACTGCTCATGTTCCGGTTGATTGCACTGCTGAGAAACTGGAAATATATTTGGAATTTGTCCTTTCTACTTTGTTCCTATGTCAGGAAAATCTAGTTGGATTTTAACCCTAATAATAGTAGTAGTAGTAGTAGTAGTAGTAGTGGTAGTAGTAGTAGTAATAGTAGTAGTAGTAGTAGTAGTAGTAATAGTAGTAGTAGTAGTAGTAGTAATAGTAGTAGTAGTAGTAGTAGTAATAGTAGTAGTAGTAGTAGTCGTAGTCGTCCTAACCCTAATAATAACAGCAGCACTCGCTTGAAGCACTCCCCTGCCTCAGAGATAGGACTCCATGCACAGGCCGTTGCCCACCCTTCTCTCCCAGGGTCAGGCCAGAGAGAACGTGCATACTCTGATGTGAGGCTGCTGACTATTTTTCTGGAATTTCTGGCCTGAAAAATGCTTCAATTTTGTTGGGAAGAGATGAGACTGGGTGGTCATCCCACTTCCTTTCCTGGTGTCCTGTGGACCCATCACTTCTGCGCTGGGGACTGTCCCCGCTCCACTCAGGCCGGCCCCCGCTGAGAGGGCACTTTGGTTGTTCTTTGTGGTTGCAGTTCATCCAGTGGAACATCCACAAGAGCGGCCTGAAGGTGTCCGAGTTCGGCCTCCCTGCGGACGCCACAGGCCCCTTCGTGCTGTCCGGTTACAGCGGCTACAAGCAGGTTCAAGTTCCCCGGGGCCGGCTCTTCGCTTTTGACTCAGAGGGAAATTACATGCTGACGTGTTCCGCCACAGGGGGCGTCATCTACAAGGTACCTGGGGGTGTCCTGGTGGGCCGGGAGCCTCCTCCCTGGAGTCCTGGGCGAGGCTGAGTGGCTGTTGCCATCCCTGCCCGCATTGGCCGTGGGAGAGCCCTTGACCCAGGTGGGCAGTGCCCGGGGCCCCTGTGTCGCAGGGGCTGATTCTCCCCCTAGGGAGAGCGAGCAGGGGTGGGGGCAGGGTGTGACACCTGTCCTCTCTGCTCGTCCAGTTGCGCATTTGACAAGATTCTGCCTCTTTTCTGTCCATGTTCCTTAGCAATAATACCTATTATAGAAGACATTAAGAAATAGGGAAAAGGGTGGGAAGTGTGTTGGTTTGGGGGAACATGCCCCAAACAGGTAAGTGCTTTATGTGGGCTGTTTTAGTTGCTCTAATCATGTATAGATTTATTATTTTATTGGCAGTTCCGAGGGTCAAGGACATTACAACCCACGACTGAGACAAATCCTAGGGTGGGATTTGTCAAATCATGATATAAGTTGTCCACTTTGTTTTGTCTCTTCGTTTATCTGTTTGTTTTAATTCTCATGTCAGAGCTTCTCTGGTTCATGTACCTTTTTTTTGTATAGTTGTTTGGAATTATAAATGTGTTCTATTTTACTAGTGTTATCAAGTAGATAAGTGGTGAGGTTTGTGTTAGAGTCTAAGCGCATATTTCTGCTGCCCCATAAATTCAGCTCTCGGCCTTTTAGAGCCTATCAGGGACTTGTTTTCCACTTAAGATTGGAGTAACCGGAGTTGGGGGGGGGGCGGCATTTCCTGCTCCAAACAATTAAACAGATTTTCTGGAAAGGTGGGCCCGAGTGCCCTGGCACATTCTCACGTTGGGGTGGCAGCCCCCAGGCTCGGGGTTTGGTGGGTAAAGTGAAATGTGTTTGTGAAAGGTGTCTGCTCACACCTCCTCCTCTCTCCTATCCCCTTGCAGCTGGGTGGGGATGAGAAGGTTCTGGAGAACTGCCTGAGCCTAGGTGGCCACCGAGCGCCTGTGGTCACTGTGGACTGGAGCACGGCCATGGACTGCGGGACCTGTCTCACTGCCTCCATGGATGGCAAGATCAAGCTGACCACCCTCTTGGCCCACAAAGTCTGATGGGACCCGCCCTGAGGGACGGTCAGGGAGGAAGTGTTATTCTGGGGGTCGGGGAAAGATGAGACAGGAAGATGCTCTACTTCCGGCTCCCTGCCAGTGCAGGGAATCTTCAGGGAAAGGCAGTTTGGAGGCCCAGGGTGCTGTCCAGCTGCAGGGACTGGAACAGGTGCCACATGGAGTAGTGGCACAAATTCTCCAGAGACCAGCACGCTGGACTGTGCCAGAAGCACACTCCAGACGGCGGGAGGAAAGCTCAGGAAGCAGGAGAAGCATTGCGGCGGCTGCTCTGTTGGCCCAGGAGAGATTGACAGTATTTTGTATATATTTGCTCAGTTTTCTTTTTTCCTTTTTTTTAAAAGAATGTTCTTGTGGTTACATGGTGTCTCTTTCTGAAATGTGTATATGCAGCAGTGTTTCCCTTCACCTTTTGCCCTGTGACGGTCAGCCCAGGTCCCCTTCCCCAGCTCTTACCTCCCCAGCCACGGGACTGAGTCTGAGCCTGACCAGAGGTTCGCTTGTTGCTTTGCCATTGGAGGACATCCTCTCTGTTCCTCTCCATTGGCTAAGGTTTGTGTTGTTCCTGTTTCTTCAGGTTCAAGTCTAGGAGTCTGTAGTCTTCCTTCTCTTCCCTGAGAGTTGGGAGCTTCTTGGGATGAGGGTAGAGTCTGAGGCTTCTCCTGGCCTCTCCATCCTGTGGCTGTGGTTTCCTGGTACCCCTTCACTGTTCCTCCTCCCAGATTTCAACTTCACATTCTTGAGGCCGAATGGAGGCCGCCACCAGCGCCTTCTGCTGGTCAAGGGCCAGAAGCCTGGATCGAGTGCTGGGCTGGAACTTAGAGTTCAGGCCATTCCCTCCGCGTCCACTGCCTGGCCCAGGCCACCCTCTGCTCCTTGCCTGACCTTGAAGAGTCAGATGCTCTCATGGGGTGAGCAGGAACGCTTGCCCTCCTCCCACCTGCATTCGCATCTGAGGCCGGGGGGCAGTCTCTGCCCATAGGCCTCGTGGTGGGAGTTCAGGCCTGGGTCTCAGCCTCCCACCCTCGATGGGGGCAGCCTTGTTGCCAAGCTGCTTGGAATAGCCACCGTAGAGCCCCTTTGGGCTTTGGCCCAGTTCTGGGGTGCAGGTCTGGAGTGCTACCTACTTTTGGAAAATCGTGAAGAAATTGGTACTATAGCTTTGGCTTCATTCTGCTGGGAGTTGGGAGGAAAGAAGGGTGGTATTTTTATGGCTCAATTATGACAGAAAACACCAGACACTTAGTAATAAGTAAGTTACTTACACGTTTTTACCCGTTTATACTCTAGTAATCCTCCATTCAAATAAAGAAAACCAAGACTTTTCCATTTATAAATGTTCCCATCTTCTGCATTGAAACAACAACCTTGTTTATCTCTCCCAGTGACGCTTCAGGACATTTGAAAAGTGGTCGTGTGTTTTATTGGAGTGAGGGAATTCATTGACTAACTTTTCTTCCAAGTTTTTTCAGTTTCTGGCTTATTACCCAGTCTCTCTACTCACGCGGTCTCCACAGCTTGCCGCAGTGTTTTTAAGGATTGTGGAGAAACAAAGAGCACTTGAGAAGCTGTCTTTTCTCTCATTTCCTTATGCTCCAGGCTGGACACTCACCTCCCTCTTGTTCTGAGCTTGGCTCAGGGCTAGATTGAGGGTCCACCAGGAGGGATTGTGGGGGATTCTACAACACTGCCTAAAGACACAAACCAAAGCACCATTAACTTCTGACCTGTTGAAATTAGCAAATACATTTATTATGTGCTGCAGGCACCCCTGCCTCCTCCTGGCCTGTTTCTCCCCAACCCTTACTCCATCCTGAGTGCTTGTCAGCATGCCCTCATCCCGGCGGTCCTCCCTGTCCCACCCTCACCCCTGCAGGATGAGCCGTCATCCTCCAATAAAGCATGTCAAAACTTAGGCTTACCTCTCCTTCACAACACCTGCTCGCATCTACCCAAGACCCCAGCAAGACTCTTCCATTACCTTGGGTGAGTGCAGCTAGGAGACGATTGAGCTAGTCCAGCCTCAGGCCACCAAACCTGCGTGCCCAGTGCGGGCATGGGCCCTGGCTCTGGTGAGAGCCTTGGTGCATTTCCTCACTCACTGTCTCGAGACCTGTCTGCCTGCCTGCCCACTTCTGCTCCAAGGCCTTCGGCCCCCTGCGTGTAGCACTGAAAACGCTCCGGACTTGACTCCAACCCATCCAAAGCCCACAGCTCAGGTTCATCCCTGCTTGGGCTTCTCACCTTTTAAACAGAAAGATTTTTGTGCAGACACACAGGTTTCCTGCTCCTCAGACTTCATTTTTCAGCTGGCTGTGGGAAGATGTTTTAAGGACACGAATATGGAAGGAGTGGTTTTAGTAATAGCAAGTATCCTCTGTTCCTTTATTCATAAAACAAAACGATGCACCTCCGCCAATTAGAGTTGGGTTTGCCCTGGCTCACAGGCTGTGAAAGCAGAAGATCCTGGAGGTCAGTGGCCCCAGTGCCTTCGTGGAACCAGAGAGAGGGCAGATTTTGCCCATGTGGTTTGCCCTCCAGAAGCTGGAGTCAGAGCCCAGGTTTAACTGGCAGCTAGATGACCTTGATCCTGGGCTGGTTGGTTTTCTGACTTGAAACCAGTGATTTACCTCCTTAAAACTGGATTGACACACTTTCCTGGGCCAGCCTATATCCTTAGGATTAAGGATGCATATTCAAGAAGAGAGGTGAATGTGCTTTGGAGAAGCCAAAGGTACCACACAGGTAAAAGGGAGAGTTCCTGGCTCTGGAGTCGGATCTCCAAACTTGGGGTCAAGCTCCCCTACCTGCACCTCTAGGATGAGGAGAGTAATCGATCTATTATTAGCTGATTTTTTGTAACTCACATTTCAAATGGCTGTCTTGACAGTTTCGCATTTTGGGGGCAGACTCAGTTCTGATCATCCTTTTGCCTCAAAATGCGGTAGAAGATGCACCTGTGACTGCATGTGCTTGCATTTTTAGTTGTGTCTGTGACCTGGGGATTTCTTTGCCAGCCTCTTTTAGGCCGCTTTAAGTTGTGATTGTGATTTTAACCAAAGCTAGATGCCGACTCCACCTGTAAACTGCTGTGCCCAGCATCAGGCTGAAAGCAAACCAGAGAAGACACCTGGGCAGCCTTGTGGAACCACACTGATTGCAGAGGGAGCACCTTGGCTGCCAGTTTGAATAGTAAACATATTAGTTAACACCTACTTTAAGATAACAAGTGTTAACAGAGGCTTTAATTTCTCTTCCTGAACTCTAGGGGGTCAGCTTGCAGCCTCCTCCCCTGGGGTGTATGACCCCAGCAGGGAGCACTGAACTTGGCTCCTGCGAGAATCCTGAGCTTTCAAAAATGCAGATTTCCCTCCTCCCCTCATCCTAATAATTTCTGATTCAGGGGACCCAGGAATCTACACTTTAACAGAGACCAACCAGCAAGCTTCAAGTGGAACCACATTTGGGGACTGTTAAAAGAAAAAATACTCTTAAAATTTTTGATGACACTTGTTAAAAAACGATTAAGCAGACTTTATTCTACAGTGGGGCTACTCCAGTGGGCTTCTGCGGTGGGGAGAGATTGGGTTCAACTCCTAATACAACAGAAAAGTGGAAATTTAGAACCGAGGAGCAGGTTGGGGGTTGGTGGATGGAAATATTAAGAGGAAACATCAGGGGTAAGGGGGGATTCTGGCTTAACCGACCTTACAGGATTCTTGCTGGGTGGTCAGATATCACCTGGGGGGCAGGTGGTGAAGGATGAGGACCCCCATCAGTTTCGAAGGTGATTGGATATCGAGGATGGGGCCAAACCAAATTCGCAGGATTTGTGCTAAAGCTGGACAATGTGGAGATGAACACGGAAGCCCAAAATTTAGGGCCTAGTGGAGAAGAAAGTTCAGAGGAGCCTGACTGGACTTGGGTCAGGGAGGGACTCTGTCAGGACCCAGGACAGCGGGGCCGGCCATCGCGAGCTGCCTGCAGGGGGCGCGCCCG